TATTTCCTGGTTTAAATGCAAAGGTTTCCTGGGAATTGGCCTCCTTTGGTAACAGATCAGTAGTGTTTACTTGCAGAGCATCATCAAAATTATCTCTTAGATCCAGGATACTTCCACCTGTTCTTATGATATATTGTTGAACTAAGAAAAAAAAGTTATACGTAGTTTAGAAACTAGAGCATACCATAATAAATTCCTTTTTTTAAATTTATTTTATTTTAATTTTTTTTTTTGAGGAAGATTGGTCCTGAGCTAACATCTGTTGCCAATCTTTCTCCTTTTTTCCTTTTTTCTCCCGAAAGACCCAGTAGATAGTTGTATGTCATAGTTGTACATCCTTCTAGTTGCTCTATGTGGGACACTACCTCAGCATGTCTTGATGAGGGGTTCGTAGGTCTGCACCCAGGATCCGAACCTGCGAACCCCGGGCCTCCGAAGCAGAGCACATGAACTTAACTGCTATGCCACTGGGCCGGCCCCATTAAAGTCCTTTTTATTCATTCTCCCCAAAATGTTGTTTCAATATGCCAAGCCTCTAGTCATATCCAAAGCCTTACTAATTCTTCAATAAAAACTGAATTTTTCTTTTTAAACTCTGCCAAATGCTGCTTCTCTTTATGAAAAGTGGAGCTAGTTAAAATGTGTCATGTTTGATTCAGAACTATCCGATTATAAAATTAATCCTTTCCTGAGCTGTCAATTAAAAACTGTTCCCCCCCCACCCATCTTACACTCTTGCTTTTGCAGTGAGCACTTTTCACGTAATCAACACCACTTGCCACCTCGTCCTTACCTTTTCCAACATCATAATCATCTCCTGGTGCTGTCCATGTTAGACTGATCTCATCCCCATCAGATGTGGCCTCAAGGTCTGTGATTTGACTTGGTGGGTACAGGTCAGGCAAGGGAAGAGTTGAAACATTTGAAACCACAAATGCACCTCCAGACGCTATTCTGCTGAAACTCTCCAAGGTTGTCTGAGTATCCTCATCAATTTCAGGTCTTGGTGGATTCCCTTCAATTTCCCCTGCATTAGAAATTTCCTGGTATTTAATGGGGATATCTCTGCCAGTATTTTCAGAACTCAATGAATTGAATTCCCCATCCCACATCTTTCCCTCCCTTTTTTCCCATCTACACAGTCACATTGTACTAAGTTTGGTGACAAAGTCATAAGCATTCAATTAGTGGGAGAATTCTTTCCTTTGTGTCCTGACCAGGATATTGTAGGATAGACTCAGATAACGAATTGCCTTGGAATTAAGGCTTCACTGAATGGGAATCATGTTATAGAATTCAATATATGCCTTTTTGAAAAAAAAAAGGAATTGCTTTATTTCCCAAATTATCTTCAGGCTGGGAACAAACCTGGCAAAATTACTACCGGTTCCCTTCCAACCACTTGTGCCAGGTCCCTCCCTCCCTCCATGCTGCAAGTGCTAAGGAGCAATACTTTGGGTTACATTCCAGTTGCCAACAGAAGGCCCCTGAAAGTCACGAGATAAGGGGCAAGACAAGGGAAAGTTAACAAAGAATGCATTCTTAATCCTTATCATCACCTTACTCTACACATTGTTTTTTTCACGTAATAAAAACTTTCAAAATAAATGTTTACTCATTTGCCTATCTTTTACAGCGTATGTAATCTGAAGGATAAATTCTGCCACTGGCTTGTACTTAGGTACATAACATATTAGCCTGTTTCCTTCATCCTGAGCTAAAGATTTGGTATATTATTTGATATAGGTGAGGTGTTCCAAACTAACATAGTAACGGCTGACATTTATTGAGTGCTTACTACATGCCAGACACTGTACCAACGCTCAGGTTAATTTGGAGGCAAACCCCA